GATGGAGACAGTGCTAAGTTTCAGACATTGGTAGAGAAGGATCAAGTGTTTAATTTTCTTGCAGGTCTCAATATGGAGTATGATCAGATCCGTATATAGGTTTTGGGTAGAGATCCTTTTCCTTATTTGAGGCAAGCATCTGCTTATGTATAGGTGGAGGAGAATAGGAGGAGGGTCATGCTTCATAATCTTGCCATGATCTATTTGCCCTAACAGCTATTCCACAACAAGAGTACAGATCTTTTCAGCCTGGTGGTGATGGAAAAATGGGAGTCTTGAAAATGATTTGTTAAAATGTGATTCCTGTGAAAAAACGAGGCACACTAAAGACTATTGGTGGAAGCTACACGGTCGTCCATCAAGGGGCGTGGTGGTAACAAGGCTATTCCTGTATGCTCACTTGCTCCTTTCCATCTACTGGTGGTGATAGCGTGAGTTTTAGTGTAGATGAGATATAAGCTCTTAGGTATCTTATGGCTCGACTTGATGCTTTTTTTGCATCTGCATCAACCTCTGTTGCTTCCAACTTTGCTCACATAGGTATACTTGCCAATGCTTTTACTACTGCTTATTTTTCTAATCCTTGGATTATTGATTTCGGAGCCACTGATTATATGACATGTTTCTTGAGTCTTTTCTCTTCTTATTCCACATGTTGCGGTAGAGATAAAGTTAGGGTAGCATAACTCATTGTCATCTGTATTTGGTTCCAACCATTGTTCTCCATTCCATCTATGTCTTTGCATTCAGTTATTTATGATCCTAGTCTTTCTACTTACTCTCAGTAAGTAGCATTATAAAGTCTCTAAATTGCTTAGTAACATTATTCCCTTCTTATTGTGTTTTTTAGGAATTGGGAATGGGGAGAACAATTGACAGTAATACAACTTATGATGGTGTATGTCTGCTAGAGGATCAACCTTCTAAGGCACTTCAGGTTTCTTGGTCTATGGCCCTCCAACAGTTACATCAATGGCATCGAATACTACGTCAACTGTTGCATGGCAAGGATTGAAGTGTTTACTTGTTGCACAAAGTTTCATAAACTGGTAAATACTTAGTTTGCTGCCAAAATTAAGATTTTGTGGACCGATAAAGGGACTAAGGACTTTAATGGAGAATACCGAGCTTATCTTATGGAACATGAAATTCTTCACTAATCTTGTTGTGTGGATATACTTGAGTAGAATGATATATAGCAGAGAGGAAGAATCGACATCTCCTTGAAGTGGAGCACTCTTTGATGTTTACTATAGGTGCACCTTAGTCCTTTTCAAGAGATGCAATACTTACTGCTGTATATCTTATCAATCGGATGCCTTCAAGAGTTTTTGATTTTGTCATTCCTATATATAAGATTATTTCATGGGTCAGTTTCTTATTACTTTGTTCCTCAAAAATGTGTTTATTTGTGTGTGTTTTGTACATGATTATCGGAGGACCAAGGGAAAGTTGGATCAAGGGTTTGCAGTGTGTCTTTATTGGCTATTGTGCTACCCAGAAGGGGTATAATTGTTATCATCCTCTGTCTTGGAAGATGTATGTTAGTATGAATGTCATATTCCATGTGATAGAGTCGTATTTTACTGCTCTTCTACCATCTTTTTAGGAGAGCAGTGTATCCAAAAAGAGATGGTAGATGATGGATTCCTTCTCTTAGCTCCCAATAAGTGCTTGATTCAGGGGGAGAGGTCTAGTCAGGGGAGCTTCAGGGAGAAATACCTACGTAGGGGGAGCAGTCTACTTATGGATGATTAGATAGGGATGATTTGTAGTGCTATACTCGCCGACAAACTAAACAGATCACCATTCATGAGTCACCAAGTCGGTTTTCATCTCCTGATTCATTTATTGAGATGTCATCCCTTTTGTCAGGGAATGAGTTTCTTTGTAGTAGTCATGTTGATGATATTTCTTGACCTATTGCTATTTGGAAAATAGTTTGGATTTGTACCCAACATCTTATTTTTAGAAATTTATTTCTTATGTATCTTTGTCTTCCAGTTATCGTGCTTTTGTTTCGTCTTTGTCTTCTATATCTCTTCCTCAGAATTGGCACAACGTCCTTACAGCAGTCATGGTGGAAAAAATGAGAGATCTGAGAAAGAATAAAATATTGGAGCTTGTATAAGTGGGTGTTCATTGTCAAGCAGAATGCAGATGGTACAGTGGATAGGTATAAGGCAAAACTAGTAGTTAAGGAATTTACTCAGACATATGACATTAACTATCAGAGACTTTTGCCCTTGTAGCTAAGATGAATTCCATTTGGGTCAGTTTTTCTTGTGCTGCCTATCTGGGATGAGATCTACATCAATTAGATGTAAAGAATGTATTTCTTCACGAAGACTTGAAGTTGGAGGAGGAAGTGTGCATGTGTATTCCTCCGGGTTTCTCTTCTCTAGGGAAAGGTATGTAAGTTAAAGAAATCTCTTTATGGATTAAAGCAGTTCCCCAGAGCTTGGCTTGACAGATTCCATAAGGCGATGGTTAAGTTTGAGTACAAGGAAAATCATGCAGATCACACAATTTTCATCAATCTATGAAGTGGTAAGATCTCAGTTCTTATAGTATATTGATTACGTAATACTCACATGTGACGATGTAAAGGAAGTGACCAAACTAAAAGTCCACTTTGTTAAAGAGTTTGAGATCAAGGTCTTGGGGCGTTAACGCAATTTTCTTAGGTGGCATAAAGGCATCTTCATCTCACAAAGGAAGTGTATCCTTGATCTTTTAGAGGAAATCGGTAAGCTAGGTTGTAAACTTGTAGACTCACCAATTGAGACAAATTATAGACTGAAAAATGATGAAGGGGATCAAGTTGATAGAGAAAGATATCAGAGGTTTGTTGAGAGACTCATATACCTTTCTCAAACTTGTCCAGACAAAGCATATGCAATGAGTGGTGTTAGTTAGTTCATGTATATGCTCCTTGAGTCCATCATCAAGAGGAAGTTCATTATACATTGTGGTATCTTAAGTTGTCTCAAGGCAAAGGCATATTGTTCTCAAAACAGGATCATCTAAGATTAGAAGCCTTCACAGATGCAGATTAGGCATGCTCAATTGATGATAGGAGGTCTACTACAGGTTACTACACCGAGGAAACCTAGTTACTTGGTAGAGTAAGAAGCAAGCAAGGGTGGCTAGATCGAGTGCAGAGATAGAATATAGGGCTATGACTCATGGTATTTGTGAGCTTGGTGGCTGAAAACCTTAATGGAAGACTTGAGAATCTCTAATGGTGAACTTATGCATCAGTATTGTGATAATAAGGCTGCTATAAATGTTGTTCACAAACCAACATGACAGAAAAAAGAGATTGACATAAGCTACATGATGGTTGGAATAATTGGCTGATGTGTTTACCAAGGAACTTAGTATTATAACTTTTCATTCAGATATATGCAAGTTGGGCATAAAAGATATCTATGTTCCAACTTGAGAGGGAGTGTAGAATGTTAGGATATTTGAATTAAGGGTATAATTGTCAGTTGTAGCTTATTATGAGATTAATATAAATATGGGTGATGAGAGGAGATTAATCTCTTTGACTCTCCTTAACCCTAATTTTCGTACGTCTTCTCTTCTTATTTCTTCTCTTTCTTCTTCTCCACTCTAAACCTTAAAATACAACACTTTGAGATTTCAACTATATTAAATGCTTATATAGTTATAAAAGAAATTGGTTGTTCTAAAATTAAAATAAAAAGAGGACCATAATTTGTCCACCATTTAAATTTCCTCATCTATTAACCAAGCCAACTTACAGATAAGAATCTGTGAAGAGATGAATCATTTGAAGTAGTGACCCTGTTCTATTAATCAGATTTTCATCTATGGTAACCCTACAGTTGATACATAGTCTGGTGCTTTTATATAGTGTTTTATTGTGATTATCATGAATTATATATGGGCTCGAGATCTTTTATTGGCAATACATTGAGGTTTTGTTTGATATCTGAGATTACTTATCCAATCATTGGTTTATTAGTTAAAGCTGAATTACTATGCTGCCATAGATATTCCTATAGTTCTTATCAGAACAATTGTGTGATGATGACCAATACTTTAGATCATGCCATTGAAGCCTGTTTTTGGATTAGAGACCGATTCCTGATTGTGCAGATGCAAGGCCTATATTCGCATAGAAAGGAATTTGTTGAGAACATGGTAGTGGCAATCATCTGGTGCGAAAGCTAGGAATCGGGAAATTCACCCAGAAGGGGTTGAGCTCTCCGTTTGGAGACAGAACAATGTTTTAAGTTTTGAGGCATATGAAAGCTAGCGGTTTGGGGGAAATAACGATTAATCAATAACATAAAATAAACAAGCTCGCTTGGCAGACTGGAAGATAAGGGCAAGTAGCAACATAGAGTGCCTTGACCTGCTCGCTGGGTAAACAACATTGCAATTGAATGGTTATTGATGAAACATTTTAAAAATTTCTTTCCGAACAGTATATGTGCGCAGTGACATTGTTTCATGATAGAAAAGAAAAAATATCAAAGTGATACACAGAGGCCTGTATACCTTATTAGCATAGCAAACCAGTTTGCCACATCAAAAAAGAATCATGTGAACTTGGATAAGTTGCATTGGAATAAAGAATTTTCTTAAAATTGGTTGCTAACCTAAATTTAAGTGAGGAAATCCTTTTCCTGATAGGTAACGTATGATAGTTTAATGACAAGCGCAAATTGGTTGCTGAACTAATTTATATCATTCTCTTAAGGAAAACCAAGCTGTTAAACTTAATAAAAGAGGAAATATGTTACAGGACACGAAGCTGCCAAGTTCAGTTAACTGATTATCTTACAGTTTGGCCACGCAGGCAGGACTGCAATATTATGTTATTCATTACTCTAGTACGAGGATATGTATACTTTTTTTGTGCTGTTATGATACTCATACATGTTGATGCATTTGCAAAATCATGAATTTCTGCTAAAAACTCTGGCTCAGTAGATCCACGACTGCTACCCTGTGTGTCTCCAATGAGTGTCCTCTATTCCGGAAGGTTTTTGGGCCAAATCTTATTTGTTGCTTCTTGTTTCTTAAGATTACAGGAGATTCTTTTATTTTTTTGAGCATTCCAGTTTTCTTGTTCCTAAGCCAGTTGCATTCATATGTTCCTGCATGGTTTGGTCTTGATTGAGACTTGCAATCTTTATTCTACAACTGCTGACACAGTCATCCTAACAATTCAGGTGTTATCTACAAAAGCGTGTTCTCAACATCTCAAGAGACCCTGCGGTTAGGGCATTGCGTGCCCAAACTGATAAGAGGGAATATGCTTTGGAAATGAAAAAAATTGTGGAGAGGCAAGTTTATTTACTCAACTTTTTAAGTTATTTTACTATTTTTAATTTGGTGAAACTTATAGGAAAAAGGAATTTGGGGAAGGCTTCCCTGAACTTTTGACTTTGGTGTTCCATAGTCTCTGGTTTTGCAAAGTATGATATGCAGAAATTATAAATGATTGCAACTAATATTGATTTCTTGCAAACCATAATAATCTAATTACAACACTTTAAATCCTAATATAGGAGGTTATTTGAAGTTTATGTGTGATGCATAACACTTTCTGAAGTTGTATAAGAGGCAAGACGGAATAGGAGTATAAGCTTTTGTCTATGATGCGCTATCCATTATTATTGAGAACATGTTGATCTTTGCACTTTCCTGTTTGTATTCCTTCATGAGTCATACTGACTTGGCATTGATGATATGTGCCAATGGCTACATGTGCTGTGTGACACGTCAGTCCCCATCTTGGAAATTGGTGCAAGTGATGAGGATTCAAATCACCCTAGCAATGTTGAGCTAGCAGTAGAGTCTAACCTTACACCAAGGCGCGGTAGTGCCTTTTGACTGGGATGATCTTGATGATATTGGGCAGGTGGCTAAGGTAAGGGCTTCCTCATGTTAGGGTGTACAATACCATGGACTTGGTTCATTGTGCCAGTGCGATAGTTTTCATAGGGATAACCAAGGTGCTCACTTAATCATGTCGAGGCAACATTGGTCCTTACAGCAAGGATCGGCCCATGCATTAAGCCCTCAGTCAATGAGCGTTTAATTTTGGAAAAAGCCAACTAAGATTGCTTCTCGAGTTTTTATGTCTTCATAGCTAAGATTATTTAGTGTACTAGTGGAGGCAGTCTGATATAAAATGGACTGCCTACTGTCTATTGACTTCTTTCTAGGAATTTTGGTAAGTGCTTAGGTACTTGATTAGTGTCACTCTTAGAGGGGGTTGGAAACTTTTGTTAAGGGATTATATTAGTTTTGACATTTTTAAAGGTCCCATCAGTAACTTTACTTTTTATCTTGGCATAGTGGTCCAAATTTCGGGCTTGCCCTTTTTCTGGAGTGCCAGCTGGAGCCTCAACCTTAGAATCAACCAGTGAGGAAAAAATGGAGGGTCTCTTGCCCCCATCAATATCAGAGCCAGCATTAATTCGTTGTTAAAAATATTCTGGGAAGGAGAGTAAGAGCCATTTTTTAAATTCATTAAAAAATTAACAAATCAATGATATAAAGAATCAAAGTAGTATTGTTAATTAAAAATATTTGGACTTGGTGTACTATTATTCTGTTTCAATTTTAATAAATAACCTCACATCCAAGGTTTGTTAAAAAAAAAAAAAAGTTAAGAATCCAATTACACACAAAAATAAATTTTGTACCAAGCAATATCGTAAAGAACAAAGAGCTTGCTCCTTATGATTTGAGATTCAAGAGTTATTAAGATTGTAATAAAAATTGAGCAACTGAGAGATTCTAAATTATAAGTGAGAGCAATAGAGAGTGAGCTAACTAGTGCTTTTAATGGTTCTTTTGGCAAGAGAGAAATAGAAAAGTAATTGAAGAATCGGAGCTTTCAATATCTAGCCAGAGTCTATTATATCTAGTAATATTTTGTTGGTGTGTTTTCTAAAGGGAATACGATGGCTTATTGTTTTGTTGATTTTTTGTTACACAAGTTCCTATTATTTATACTTGTATTTAATTTTAGAATACCAGTATTTATACATAATCGTATGTTTGCTCATTATCTACAAACTTTAATTTTCTTTTTCTAATCAATACCCATCATCTTCTATCCACTGACTTTCTTTTTCAGCTCTCCAAACCTTTCTATTAGAGAGGCAATGGTGACAGATATCTTGTTGGGAAAGAATGACAGTGTGGAAGGTGTTCGCACATTTTTTGGAATGAACTTCTATGTGTCTTCTGTCATTCTCACAACTGGCACTTTTATGAGTGGAAAAATTTGGGTTGGTAGAACTTCTATGCCAGCAGTAAGAGCTGGTGAGTCAGCTTCTGTTGGCCTCACGGAAAATTTGCAGCGCCTTGGATTTGAAATTGACCGATTGAAAACTGGCACCCCGGCACGTGTGGACATTCGTACCATAGATTTCTCTGGATTGGAGCCCCAGCAGGGAGATCAAGAGGTCCTTTCATTTATTGTCATATGTAGGTTCCATAGTTTTAATTCCATGAGGCATGTTTTCTGATTGTGCTTTAAAATTTGCTCATTATAAAGAGATTGTAACTCCATGGTATATATGCCCTCAAATAGTGTTGTGCGTGGCATTTTGGGTGTGTTTGGATTAGGTATTCGGATTGATAGGATTGGCCAACCCCATCAATTACATACCCACCCAGCTGGAGAAGGAAGATAAATCCAAAATCCACGTCTGCTAATCCCTTATTTGATTTAGGTATTGAAAAGTACTGGGCCCACACTTATCCCATTCAACACTTTATATGGATGGGGTGGGTATTGAATGATGGTATAACCTTTAAAATTACCAAAGAACCTACAATTTAGTTTAATTCTATGGTTTCTCTGGGATAAAAATGTCTTTTGCTTCCACCAAATAGTTAGGTTTAATTTAGAAGGTATTTGTGGGAATATAACTACTGTTTATGCAGCCCTTGGACTATTTTTTTTTTATCGGTAAGTCCCTTGGACTATTTTTAAATGATTGTAGTGAGCCCAATTTGTGTATCCAAACCTAGGAATAAATGGGATAGCGTGGGTCCAGGAGTTATTTTTTTTCAATCAGCGTTCTTAATATCTTATCCAAACACCTTTTATATATTTACACCTGGCACATGAACACGCCAACAATTGCCAATTGGCCAGGGATATACTTCGATGTTATCCTTCACTTAACTCATATCATCATGTAGGGGTGGAGGCACGAAATTATTGTAGGGTGGACACATTAATAAGTTCTAATTTTTTGGTCAATTGGCTGCATAAGTTCATAAATTCATCCTTACTGAAATTATATTTTGTACTTAGTTAAAATAGAAAAACCAATATTGAGGTTAGAAGGATGTAGGAAAATAGAGAAAGAGATGAGGAAGAAAGGTATGAAAGAATAATTTGTATATGGGCTATGTTATCCAAGACTCTCTTATTTATAATATTTGGGTAATTATACTATTACTCTACACTAATTAACTTGTGTCTAATAGAGAAAATAAGAATTCTAACACTCCCCCTTAAGATGGAGAATAAATATAAAAAATGTTCAGCTTTGAACATAAACTACTGAAGGCAATATGAGCCAATGGTTTGGTAAGAATGCCACTCAACTGATCATCAGACTTGATATAAAGGGTGATAATCTCCTTTCGCATCAAAAGATCGCAAATGAAATGATAATCCACCTCCGTATGTTTGGTACGCCCATAAAATACCGGATTAATTGTGATGAAAATAGTTGTTTGGTTGTCTTAATGCATTTTTATAGGGATAGACACATCAAGTCCTATATCATGAAGTAACGAACGCTCCCATAACATCTCACAAGCAGTATGTGCCATAGCACGGTAATTAGCCTTTGCACTAGAATGAGCAATCCCGTTCTTCTTTTTACTTTGTTAAGTAATAAGATTACCACCAACAAATGTACAAAAGCCAGAAGTAGATCGCCTATCACCATGACTACTTGCCTAATCAGTGTCAGAATAACCAACAGCAGTATAATCCTTTCCCCGGAGCCCCCTTCAGGCATCGAGAATTGTGAGGGGCATGCATGAATTGACTAACCACACCAACAACATATGTAATATCAAGGCGTGGGACTATAAGATAAATAGGCTTACCAACCAACTGTCGATAACACCCTATATCATCAAACACTTCACCATTCTCAAAATTTAATTTAGCTGTAGGGTCTACTGGCGTATCTGTCGAACGTGCACCAAGAGTACTGGTTTCAGATAGTAAGTCTAATACATACTTTTTGTTGACCCAAACTGATACTCTCCTTTGATCGGGCAACCTCAATTCCAAGGAAGTACTGAAGCAGACCTAAATCTTTGGTATGAAATTGCTTCCCCCAATAAGCCTTGAAATGAGTAATAACACCTATGCCATTACCACTAATAATGATGTCATCAACATACAAAACAACAATAAAACTGCTGGTAGAAGATTGATGAACAAAAACTAAATGATCTGAGGTAGAACGCTGTAACTCAAACTTAAGTATTACGGTACTAAATTTATCAAATCACGCCATTGGTAACTATTTCAACCCATATAGTGCCTTCTTCAAACAACACACTAATTGTTCCTGGCCTGCACCAACATAACCTAATGGTTGAATCATATACACCTCCTCTGGTAGATCTTCGTGTAAAAAAGCATTCTTTATGTTTAGTTGATACAAGGGCTAGTTAGAGCTAATTGCAATAGAAATAGGAACTCTAACAAAATTAAGACGATCAACAGGAGAGAAAGGCTCACAGTAATCCACACCACATGTTTGAGTGCAGTCCTTAGTAACTAACCTTTTCTTCAAATGCTCTACAGAACTATCGGGATGAGATTTCATAGTGTAGACTCAGCAATAACTAACAGACTGCTTACAGATGGAAGAGAAATGAGATTCCATGTATGGTTGTCATAAAGTGCCTTAATTTCTTCATCCATAGTCAGTTTTCAGCCAGTAGATATTAATGCCTGTTTCAAAGAACTAGGGACAAATACAGAAGACAAGGCTGGTGCAAAACAACGGAAGTGAGAGGGAAGCTGATGTAAAGAGACAAAGTTAGAAATGAGATGCTGAGTACAAGTACAAATACCTTTATGCAACGCAATAGGCAATTCAGAAGAGAATGATACATTAGACGACTCAAAAGAAAGGACATCAGTAGAATTAGATGTTAGTTTGAGAGTTAAAGTATATGGAACAACTTGCCAGTCCGTGAAACGACGGTAAACCTGTAAGTGAGGGTCGGAAGTCAGAGTGGGAGAAGATACACAATTGGGTACAAGAGGCAAGATAAGCTCCCCTGATTATTAGAGATTAAATCCGAGGACATTGTAGTTCCTGAAGAAAAAAAAGGAAGATGACTCAAAAAATGTGACATCAACATTAGTGTAGTATTGACTAGAGGTAGAGTCATAACAATGATAACCTTTCTTGTAACACCCTGACCCAGTCTTCATGTGACCCGGTTGGTGGCAATGGAAATATGTTTATTGACCTGACTGGCTGGGAGTCATGAAGTGTCTCTCGCCTTGGGAGGATTGACCTTGGTCTTGACTTTGATAGTCACGGCCCTGTCCTTGCTGTCCCTGAGGAGTAGAAGTCCTCTGCCTCTTTCCTGAGCTAGAAGAAGAGGATTGACCCTCCTTCTTCTTGTCCTTGGCACCCGACTCTCGGATGCTTCTTGCATCATCAATCTCTCTCTCAATGGCCATAGTTGTCTCGACCATCAAGTCCAAGTCTTGTAGGAGGAGACCCATAATTTTCCCCCAGATAGATAATTTCAACCTATCCTCAAATCTCCTCACTTTGGCCACATCGGTGGCCACATAATCGTCAGCAAAACGGGCTAATTCGGTGAATTTAGCCACATATTCCATCACGATCATTGTCCCTTGTTTCAAATCCAAGAACTCCCTGGCCTTCGAACATCGAACAGGTGCTGGGAAATACTTGCCCATGAAGAGCTCCGGGAACTCTCCCTATGTCATTTCCTCCAAGTTCTTGGAGTCCTTTGCCCACTCTCACCAAAGTTGGGCTTCTCCTTCTAGCTGGAACGCAGCTAGCCTTACCTTTGTGGCATCGGAGGTGATCTCCATTGCCTCTAAAATCTTATCAATCTGCCGAAACCAATGGTCAGTTACCATCAGATCTGCCCCTCCCTCAAAAATCAGAGGCTTGTGTGCCTTGAATCTTTGGAAGTTATTCGAACCTCGTCCCATACTTGCACTAGCCTGTGCAATAGTAGCAGCTACAGCACTAGCTTGTGCAATGATAGCAGCCGCATTACCAATAGCCTCCACGAAGGCTTGATGGTCAAAGGCCGATGGTGGTTGATTATTATTCTGCCCACGCCTCGACGTCCTCTCTCTCTACAAGCCATCTATACACATGTCAAACAACAATATAGCACTCATTTAATATTCCAAAGTAGAGACTAACTTTGAAACTTTGAGATTCCTCTCCTTGTCTTCCCAGTGGAGCTTATGCCACCCACTAGTAAACATTTATACCTTGGACTATCTCGTTCCCATGTTTTTTGACCCCCAAGGTTATGTTTACTAACCCTAGTGTCTCTTTTCCATACACATTTTACCATATATATCATGCACATAATATATAACACATAATATGTATCATGTTAAAGCACATAGCATGAAATGCACGATGAATGTAATGGTCTAAACCCATGCCCCACCAATCCCTCGATAAATCGTATACCTAGGCTCTGATACCAAGCTGTGATGCCCCTAAAATCAGAGGTCCTTTTTCTGTGACGTCCCTAAAACTGAGGGTTCTTGGTCAATCGTTGATCAACTGTCAACCCATGGAAATACCTGTGATTGTTGCACAACTCGACGTCACGTTAATCACCTCCCCTTAATCGGGATCATCACCAACATGTGTAACCTGTGTACACTTTGTTATTTAACCCAACTAAGGTCCAATGTACCACATTTCATACTCCATTTGCATCATTTAAACAAAAAAGATTCATAGCCCAAAAGCATGGTAACACGATTTTAAAATTTTGGAAGGTGTACCGGTACACCATACCGGTACAAGTTGCCCACTGGAAAAATCATACCGGTATGGGTAACCCACTGGACTTCGTCGTACCGGTTTGTCGTACCGGTAAGTTTTGCCAACTTTTGCCTATTTCATCTGCTTTTCATTTTCAACTCATTCTTAAGCATATTATTTACATCCAACACATGTATAATGAAGTTTTTTATATAATACAAGGTCTATACAAGTTCTATTACATTTAATTCAATGTATTTACATACCAAAATAGAAATTTCACAATTGTTTTACAAAACTCAAAATAAAACCAAATTCTGACTTTCTTCACCCTTGGGGTCTCGTGTGAGGGCCTTCCACCAATGTATATCCCGCACCTGAAATATTTTTCCGTATAGGGTGAACCACGCCTAGTAGAGTATTTCATACAAAGGCTACTCCCCCAACCTAAGTGCACATGAATATCCATTCAACATTTA